CATATCACTTTTTTCAAGTACTGCAGCAGCTTCTTGACATTTTTGGCAAAATTGAGGTGCTTGCTTGTCTGTTTGCATATTTGCTTGCATTGCTATTGTTGTTAAAAAAAAAAAAAAGAAAGAAGTCAGAAAATGGAGAAGGTTTCTTTTTTTTTCTTTTCAGCTACCATCCAAGTGAAGCGCAAAGAAATTTTTCAGAGACAGTTATTTTTCTTCAAAACAGATGTCATAGGGCTACTGCAAGTAATAACTGCATGCAAATTTTTTTCAGGAAGAAAGACCCCCACCACCACTCCCCCTCCCTCTCTCTCTACCCCTACATCTCTCTTGTTTTATAAGGAAAAATGTTAGATACCTTACATGTAGGCATTTCTTCCAGGTCCTCAAATAAGTTTACCCTGCACTGGAGTGCAAGGGATTTCACTGCAACTTATGGACTTGAGGAGGAGGAATATTTTGATCACTTTTTGAGTGTACAGTTTTGAATTAATACACTAGCAATGAACATATCTGCTTTAAATGGCCTTGTGTGGTGGAGGAAGAATGAACAACTTCTTACTCACAGTTCTTTGTTTTATGATAAGTTTAACATGGCAGTAAAAAGGGGTTTACGTTTGTACTTCTGTCTTTTATGAACAACAGTTTCCATCCATTTAATAATGACCTTGCTTTTCTCATGAGAATAGTACAATTATCAATCTGTCAGTGCAGCTTTCTGTAGTGCAAGATAGCACTTCCTGTTCCACTTAATCGTCTCACCCATCTGTGGAGCTCTGCTCTTGCCGGAAGACACCTGCTTTCTCAAATGATATTTTTAAGGATCAGATCCATTGCAGTTGATTGTATGAGTCCTGTTACATTGGTTGCATTTTAGGAGAAAGATGGGTAAAAGCCAGGCTTCCTACTAAGCATGCGACATAGCAAAAACAGCAGCTAATTAAAAAAAACAAAAGACGTGCACACAAAAAGCCCAAGAGCAAACATCTCTCTCTTTGCATAAAGTATTAAAGTTCAACAAAGGATTTGTCATAAATTGAAGCTAATGGTTAATTTAATACTTCATCGTGCTCTTTTGAATGTGGATGGTACCATCTAGATTTGCTGGGTCAAAAGGAGCAAGAAAGAATGAAGAAGTTTTCTGTGGTTTTGCCCATGAAGGCCTTGCTTTATTTCTGGTCTGAGAAAGTTCTGATGTTTCTTTTTTTGACTCAGGATTGCCAGGCCAGTTTTTGAGCCTGGAAACGTATCTTGGCTTAAGCTCTGCTGAATTACTGCTGCTCAGCCAAACCCTTCATGCCCAGGAAGCACGTCCTGGCCTGCTGCCACCCCACAGTGGCCATCCTGTTGCTAATGGCCTTCACAAAGACAGTGTGGGCTGTGAGCTGCCCCATCATGTGCAGGCAGCAGGTGCTGCCTGTGCCAAGGTGGAGTTATGGTGGCAAAGCTGAGGGAACAAGTAGGACTCGCAGTGAAAGCATTTTTCTTAAGGGCAGCATCAGTCATACTGCTTTCCTGTGAGAGTGATTCATCTCCTCACATTGACATTACAGAGCAGAAGAGGACACAGTAGGTACAAATATCTACTTTGCACTTTCTTTTCCTCATCCTCCTGGCAGATGTGCTTCAAAGCTGGAACTTTGTAAGTTATGTCTCGTCCAGGCTCTCCTTTCCCTGTGCTCTGAACATCTGGCTGGCCAGAGAACGCCTGCACTGCCCCTCTGCCAAGGGGAACTGAAAAGTCAGGTGTCCCCTTCACTGGTACCTGGGATGTAATGGAACAGGTTGCTTCCCACTGAGCAGTTCTACCATCCTCATTGCTGCATGAAGAAAACCCATCCCTGCCCCCTAGCCTTGCACTCCACTGTTTTAAATAAACATTTTAACTGCAAAATATATCTTATGCCATTATGTGTTTTAGTTGCTATATATGCTGCTTAACATTATTATTCATTTCTGAACTTCACATCTGGCAGAAATAGGGCCCTAACAGTACAAGAAGTATTGACACATAATACGTAATGCTTTAAACCTGATTACATACTGTGGAGTTATACATAAGCTTCAGGTAAAAATGCTGTGATGTCTGTTTTGTTCTTGATTTCTGTTTGCCATCCATTTAAACAAGACTGCCACATCAGTGAGGGGCTGTGATGCTGGACTAGGGTTATAAGAGTAGGGATCACACGTTGCACTCATTTGTGTAAATCATAAATGTTTACAATGACTAGAGCAAGATGGGATCAGAGTAATTATCATCAGTAATCACTAACAACACTGTAGTGTTAGCATTCAGAGTAGCTGGAACTTTCTTTTTGCTAGTAGGAAGGAGGATTTTACAAGACTGTGCAAACCCAGAGTGGAAACTTAAAAGAAAGACCTAGAAAGAGGGTTTGGTTACTTAGTAATGGATTTTTTATTGACTTTCTTTTGGCTCAAATAGCTAGTAGGGGCTAAGGAACAGTGATGAGTACTCTGTGTAACGTGAACTCCAAAGCAACACTGTGCCATACCTCAGTCCTTAAGGAGCAGCATGCAGGATGAGCAGGGTGGTGGCAGCATCCTTCTGCCAGTGCAGCTGTGATGGTGGTCATGTCCCTTACTGAGTGCTACTACCCAGAAGGGGTATAAGAAAGTGGACATGTTCAGAAATGAGCCCCACATGTAAGCATCTGTTTAACTACTCTGGAGGAAAGTTTAATGTTAACCAGATCACAGTCTACAAGACAAAACTGGTTAGCCAAATTCAAATCAAAATAACTGACAATTAATGTACGTTGTAATGGATTTCCCATCAGTAGAAATTCTTAAAACCTGGAGTGTAAATTTCTGAGATATTATAATTTAGTTCAAATGGAGTCCAGAGAAAACCTATAATAGGCCTGTGCTTTTTTTTGGGACATTACAAAAAAAGTCCATATCTATAGCACTTAGAGTACATGATTTCAGATTAGTTGGTTTCTGGGTTGTCTTTAACAAGAGGGAGGGATATGTTAGCACTAGGTTTTTCCACTGAAGAATACTGAATGAATTTAATAGTTCTGCAGGGAGTCAGATGGGTATAAATGGACACAAAGGAAACTAGCATTATCTTAGTCTATGAAAGAAGCACTACAGTAATAGGAAATAATAGTCTACTAAATTTGACTTTGGTTGCAGACAAGTTCCTGGAGATTTTAAGAGCTCAGATCACAAAAAAATACATGGAATTGTGCTCTGATAAAAGTTACCAATGTGCCTTCAGAGGGAATACACTTTATATGGCACGGCTAGGAAAGTTATTTTGTGAGGCTCGTTGAAAGGACAAAACTGTGGTGAAGGTGAGGAAAAAGAAACAAATATACACTTGGATCTTGCATTAAGTCATATGGCAATGGCTAGGATTGAGAAAAAGTACCCATTTCTGAGAATATGAGACCAAATGCATGACCATACAAGGATGATAAATAAGTAATTTTATATTTGGTGTGCCATAGGTGCATTAAAATCAGCGTTTGGTGCTAGCTGACCCTGTCCACTTTGATGGCAAGTGGAAGTTGGATTTTAGAGGAAATAGTGCCAGGTCAACGCTGGAGACCTTAGAAATTCTGAAAGCGTATCTGGATTCTTTGGCCTGAGAATACACTGCATCTTGCAAGATACATGACTGTAACCCAGGAAAAATGGCAGGTGAAGATAATTTAGATTAATTTCTTGAATACTGAATTTACAGCAGATGTAACTGCCAAAAAACCAAACAAACAACCAAACAACTTCTCCTTCTGTTCCACAACACTCACTCCTTACTGTGGCCTTTAATGACCACAATTACTGAATTGAATTGAATATTGATGGAATTCAGGTCTTATTTCTATTCTTTCTATTTCTCTGTTCATATCTCCATCAACACATCATGTCCATAATTCTTATCCAACAAATGAAAGTGAAGACAGGCATGAAAATTAATTTGACTATATGCTTTTATTTATTTTGTGCTTTTTCCATAAAAAGGAGATACAAAGATGAACAAGAAGTTGATTATACTAACACTGAGGTTATTTCATGGTGCAAGTCTTTAATTTTGGTTAGACTAGTGTGCAACTGAAGACTTGTTAGAAAGCACTGCACAGGCAGCTGGAGGGAATCTGAAAATGGGAAACTGACCTGCAAATCAAGTGCAGTTCTGGACTGTGCATATTTAGAAGCAAATAAAGTGCATGTTGCCTGCAAACACACTCTCATTCCTACCAGGGCATTGCTGTGAAGAGGGAAACTTCTACTGCTGGCCAACAGCTACTGAGCTCTTCCTGGTTCCTGGAAGCATGTTGGCAAATGTTTTGTCTTGATTCTGGCAGCATGAACAATGCAGGAGTGACATTAAATTAAACCAAATCACAGCTCTGTTCCAGTACATGTTTCTCCACTTCTTGGAGAAATTCTTCAGGATCTTCCTCACCCGTAATGGGTATGTTAAACCTTTATGAATTTTATTTCAGCTATATTTTACCTAATGGAAGCTCTTGGTCACTATTTTGGTTGCCTGTACCTTACTGTGGCCATGAACTGCAATTCAGTCATTTATGCTCTGTGAAAACAACAGTGATGTTTTCAGAATATGCTTGTTCTCTGCTCATATGTCTATGAGCAAGAGACCTGTGTGAAGTATTATCTACCTTACCAAGTCACAAAAAATAAATAAGTACAGTCTCATCCATAACATAAAGAATCTGACCAGAAAAAAACAGAATTAGTGGTGACATAGTAGTTGTTACGGTTCTGCAATGAAATGAATGGTATGGGAGCACAATGTATATTTCTCCTGTGGTTGCAGCTCTATATCTTAGATCTGCAGAGCAGCATCTAACAGAATCATACTTGAAAGCCAGTAGAATTAATACTAAGCAGGGCTACCCAGCTGGAGAAAAATGTTGAATAATACAGGCTTTGTATTAGCATAAACACAGCTTCCTTTGCTTCGTATTTAAACACTATTTTGAACTATTTATTTTTTTTTTAATTTTGAGGTTGCATCTCTTTCATTGACCTGTGACTTGATGTGACAGAAGAACTCACAACAGAGGATATTTTCTGGAATTTCATGTCTGAGGTGAGCTTATTGTGAAAATTGGATCAGCATCTGCAATGAGCCAGAGCAGCTTTGATAATATGTATATTCCCATGGTTCACATGGTCCTTAAAACATTTTGAATGCTATCCACCCAAGCGCACAGTCCGTCCACCAGACACTTGCTCTTCTGTACAGAGGAGTGGGATTTCAGTGGTACTTGAGATGGTGTTGCAAAGATTGTAATAATGAGGCTGAAAATGGAAATTACCCCTATGGAACCAGGACATATGAACATATTATTGTGTTGTTATGACAATGAAGTGGAGTGGATTATTCCATTATAAACCAAAAAACTGCAGTGAAAGGTGTTAATTACAGGAGCATCCTCATTATCCATACTTCTTTTATGAGGACCTAGCTCCCTTTCCCTGCCATTGACTCCCAATTATACAAACTGTAAAAATGTAAGATGTGACTGAGTGCAAAGTACAGCAAGAATCTATTCAGGTATCAGTCTGAGAAGCATTCAGGAGAAAAATATGATAGAAAATAGCGATAACAGGAGTGGTTAGCTTTGCTGGTTTATTTCCAGGGTCAAAGGGCTAAATTAATTTAAACCAAGTCAAACTTGATTTTAAGGAACTGTGAAGCTGCAAAATTATGGAGGGCTAGTAGCAGTACTATCCTGAAAGCATCAAGCTTAGGCCTGGGCAGATGTGTCTCAGTCACTTCATGCTTGCAGGTGGTGATGACCTGTTAGTGCACAGCCTGCTCGTGTGGATGCACTTTCATGGTGCAATTTTCTCCAAGTTGATGTCTCAAGCCTTGTCTCTGTTATGCATCCAGAGTCTTCTTGGTTGCTTCAGAAACCAACTGACCCTTTTCTTATAACTGCAACAAGCTCTGCTCCCTCTCCTGGGAACCTTTTCAGCTGCCAACTCAACTGATTTCAGTCTGTGTTGCAGCAGAGGTGGTTTCTAACTCTGTTTGTCTTCACCTTTTTGTTTTCTCCAGCATTCAGAAATAATTACCAAACAATTAACAAAAAATAAAAGCTCCTTGGATAGCACAGTAGACAGGGTGGGCTACAGCACTTTTATTCCTGCTTCTTCATTTATTTTGTGATCAGATTCAGTAGGGCTGCCTCTTTACGTCACAGTCTTTTTCTGCCTTATTTCTTCAGGCTGTGAATTAGGAATTGCCTCTGATGCATCCGTATTAGTATTTAGATCAAAAATCTTCAATTTTTAATGTAGATTCCAGGCTCTGTTGTTGAATACACTGAATTTGAAGGTTGCTACTACACTATCCTGAAAGAGTGGTCTTGATGGAAGACGATTTTGGCAGAAGCTGTCTGAACTGATGGGCGTGTTTCTGGCCAATGCTGAAGGGGACACAATGATTTCAGGCTTGCTTAGTAGCTATCCCCTACATTGCCTATGAAAATCATGTGATGACCAAGAGCCAAGCACCAATGGCTTTTTATGGATATTCTTGTTCAGGAGAGAGTAACTGATGTGAGATTTTCAACATTTACATGCAACAAAACACTTAAGAGAATATTCTTTGAGTCTATATTGCATTTTCAGATGCTGCCATTTGGCACTAATGCACTCTGTGCCAGAGTATCCTGTGCCCTCTCTGCAGTACAGATCTGAGCCACTCCTTAGTCATTTCATTCATACATGGGTGGTACTCAAGGACCTGCAATTCCATTAGGACTTTAGCATTTATTATAGTACAGATTTGTCTACATAAACTAAGCTGATAATATCCTGTAGAACAAAGTTGCTACTGGGTGTCATGATAGTCATTAGACCTGAAAGAGGTGAAGCTGGGTTTATTCACATTGAATTTTAATTCAGAGGACAAGTCAGAAGCAAATATCTTAATGGTGTTTCTTAACAAAAATGGAAGCACCTGTGCACATAAGTCTTCAATTGCCTGAACTCTTGTCTTGAGGGCTGAATCCTACAACCCTTCCTACTGAATAACTTTCAATCTCTGCTGTGGGACCATCACATGCAGAGGATTTGCAGAAGCAGACATGATTACACGATTCCATATGCAGACTTGTGATACTACTGGTGACGAGATTGCTGTGATTCACCTATCAGCAGGTAGGATGTTGGCTAAAACACTTTATCCATGAGGCAGTACTTTCTCAGAACCATATCAGTACTCTTTAACATCTTTATCAGTTACATAGGTGATTGAGTGCACTCTCAGCAAGTTTGCTGATGATGCTAAGCTGAGTGATGCAGTTTATATGGCAGAAGGAAGAAAGGAATGCCATCCAGAGGGACCTTGATAAACTTGAAAGGTGAGGCCATGTGAATCTAATGAGGTTCAACAAAGCAAAGTACAAGGTTTTGCAATTGGGTCAAAGTAATCCCATATATATATGGACTGGGAGAAGAACTCCTTGAGAGCAGCCCTGCTAAGAAGAACTCAGGAATTCTGGTTGATGAAAAACCTTATATGAACCAGCAGTGTGCGCTTGCAGCCTGAAGGGCCAACCATATTATTGTCTGCATCAGAAGAGGGAAGATCAGCAGGGAGAGGGGTGTGAATGTCCCTCTCTATTCTGGTCTTGTGAGGCCCTGACTAGAATACTGAGTTCAAGTCTGGGACCCCCAGCACAGGAAAGATGTGGAGCTTTTAGAGAGGGTCCAGAGCAGGGTCATGAAGATGATCAGAGCTGGAGCACATCTCTTACAAAGAAAGCCTGAGGAAGCTGGGCTTTTCAGTCTGAAGAAGAGAAGGCTGCAGGGAGACCTCATTATGGCCTTCCAGTATTTAAAGGGAGATTACAAAAATGAGGGAAATCAACTTTTTACACAGGTAGATAGTGACTGTACAAGGGTGAATGGTTTTAAGCTTAAGGAGGGAAGATTTAGATCAGATATCAGGGGGAAGTTTTTCACTGAGAAGGTGATGAGGTGCTGGAACAAGTTGCCCAGAAAGGTTGTAGATGCTCCATCCTCAGAGGTATTTGGTCAGGTTGATGGTGTCCTAGGCAACCTGATCTTGACCTAGCAGTTGGCAACCCTGTCTGCAGCTCAGGGGTTGGAACTTGATGATCCTTGCGGTCCCTTCTAACCCAAGCCATTCTGTGATTCTCTGATTCTATCATTCTGTGGAGTAGCAATAAATGTTAAATAACCAACCTTCCACCCAGACCTATTTTCTGGCACTTACGTAATTACAGAAGCTTTTGGAAATTGCATTGCATGGCTATGATTTGATGGCAACATGTGAATGTTTCACTGTAAACACATTTCCATTACATGAGATTTCATTCCAGAGATTTCTGCTCTGATTTCCTCTTTCTTTAAAGATTAGGGCCAACAATGCAGTAACCACATTGTTAGCAGGAGCAAGGTGAGATTAAGAGTGTGGACTCCATTGATTGGAGAACTTCAGAGGCAGGGTGCTAAATATTCCTTAATAAGTGGGAGTTCAGCTTGGCTCTATGTGTAATGACTGTGCTGCACAGAAGCATTTGAAGTATGTTGCCTTGAGCAAGCTGAAAAAAACAATGAAAAAAGGACAGAGTAAGATTGATATCAGATTATTCACCATTTATTTATTCCTGTTATATGTACTTAAAGTACTGATCTCACATGGGTGTCTGCCCACAGAGGCTGTGTGTATCGGCTGCCACTCTTGGTGGAATCGGGGCTATGACTCCCCACCTCAGGTGACTGAACTTCACACTTACAGTTAGTGCTCAGGCTGTAAGACACTTGCTATAGCTTGAAATATGCTAATATATTTCAAAGAGCAGGCATATGACCACAGAACGTGTGGGAACCCCTGCAGCTCCAGGGTTTCAGCAGAGGGCCGTTCATGCCAGCTCCATGTTGGGCCCACTGGGTTTTGGCTCTCCTACAAAGCTCCTGAAAATGGTTCTCTTGTCTCCTAATAAAACTCTATTAGCATCCTTGTTACTTCAGTGTGCGCACCTTTGTAATTAACAGCTCACAGATGCTATGCTTTCTTCCTTGATATTTCCCTCCCCTCTGTTTTTGCCTTGTTTCCCTTTGTGAATTGGTGAGGCAGTGCTGAGCTTGGTACTGGCTTCCCTTGACAGCAAGCATTAAGCTGTTGCAAGCATCTCTCTCAGACTGTTAATTGTCTTGGAATAATTCATTAATTACTTGCTTTCTTGCTTTCTGCCAGCTACATTTTCACTGGTGAAAGGCAAGCTGAGCTCGTCTGCTCCCTTCCAGCGATGGCTGGGCCCATCTTCATTTCATTTAGAGGAAGAAATTTTTTTTTTCTGTTCCCGCACTGTGGAAAAACTCAATTGCATCAGCGCACAGAAGAGAATGCTGCCACAGGGGAGGTAGCACTGAGCAGGTGCTGTCTGGTGCAGGGTTTCAAAGGTAGGGTGGAATGCTCTTGTTTGGTCCCTCTGCAGTCATATATCTTGGGCCTGCCAGGCATTTCCAGTCATGCAGCTGCCATGTGCTGGTTTCTGTATTTCACATGCTTTAGTAATAGGTTCATTTATTTTGTTTCTCCATTTTTAATACAACACAGATCTAGTGATCTGGATCAAGGCAGACTGGAGTGTAGATTCTCCAGAGGCCATAGCACACCTTTTGGGACTGACCTTTTTAGTTTTTATCAATAATGTCATCTCTTACTTTTACAACCAGTTAATAGTTTTCCCACTTTTTTTTTTTTTTTTTTTTTTTTTTTTTTTTTTTTTTTTTTTTTTTTGCTTGAGGTCCTGTATTGATGCAACTTTTCTATCTGGTGTGAATTTCAGGTCTGTCCTATAGGACCCTATCTGGGTCGTGCTTCACTTGCTTAGAGCAGGAAAAGTTTAGCAAGGGCCCCTGTAATTGAAAGACAAGGAAGAAAAGTCAAGAGAGGTCTGAGGTTGTGAAATGACCTCTGTGGACAGTGCCGTGTAGAGTTATGCAGTAGCTGTCCTTCTGGAAACAATGCTGTTCTGGAAGGCTGTGGGCTGCAGCCTTTCCTTGCCTCCTCCTCCTTGGCCTTGTGAGATGCTGCTGGGCTGATTC